AGGGGTCTATTCCACACGAGTATACTCCGGAGCCGAGTTAAAGTTTTCCTGAGAGACAGAACATAATTATACACTTCCTGCTTTCCTGTGATGTGTACATATGGGCTAGGCTCAGGGGATTCATGTGGTTTCCTGTACAATATCTCATAAGGACTGACTGACATCCCACTCCTAGGCTTTACCTGAATCCGCAGCAGTGCTATTGGCAAAGCCTGGGGCCACTGCAATTTGGCTTCTTGGCATAATTTACTGATTTGCCTTTTTAGTGTCTGATTCATCCTCTCTACCTGTCCACTTGACTGGGGTCTCCACGGTGTGTGGAGTTCCCAAGTTATCCCCAGCAATCTACTTACCTCTCTTACTATTGTAGCTATGAAATGGGGTCCCCTATCTGGGGTACCCCGAATCTGGGAATAATCTCCTGTAGTAACCACTTAACTGTTTCCTTTGCTTGTTTCGTGCGACAGGGAAGGACTTCTGGCCACCCAGAGAATGTGTCAACCCCCACTAACAGGTATTTGTATCCTCGAGTTCTTGGTAGTTCTACAAAATCTACCTGCCAATAGTCTCCTGGCTCTATTGCTGTCCAAATTCTTCCTAGCTGTGCCTGTCACCTGGCCACTGGGTTGTTTTTCAAGCAGATAGCACATTTTGACANTTTTTTCTAGTGGTCCCCATTTGCTTGGTTATTTTTATTTTTGTTTGTGTTTGGTTGCTTGGTTGTTTGGGTTTTTTGTTTTGGGGAGTGTTGGTGGCAGGTGGATGGGTATTTGGTTTTTGACTTTTTTTCTTTCATTACTATTTTTAATTTTTTTTAAAGGCTTTTAACTTTCTTTCTGTTTTAAACCATTAATGTTTTTGTAATAGCCTTTCCTTGCAACCACAACCATTGCAGTTCTTTGCATTTCCTTGATTTTTAGACTTTGCTTTCTCTAAGTTGTAGAAATTTGTCAGACTGGGCTTTTTTTCTTGTCGCCCTCTGTCTTGCACTTTTTTTCTTGGAAATAGTGTAGGACAGAACTCAGTAAATGTGGACCTCAAATAATTGTAACTTTTTCTTACTACTGTTAGTGAATGGTTTATTTGCTTTGAAACATGTAAATGTTCTTACAGTGATAGTAAGTAAAGTAAAATCTGATAGTGTTGTGGGTTTAACATTGGCTAAAAGCCAATGCACCTACTCAGTGCAGGTACAAAAAGTCCTTTACTTATTCGCCTCTGCCACAATTGAGCAGAGGAGGGGGAAAGAATAATTAAAAAGCTGATGGCGTGAGATAAGGATTAGAAGTAAAACACTTTAAAGGCAAAACAGGCTCAAAACTTTAAAATATACAAAGAAAAATGTATTAATGAAATTAAAAAAGAATAATGAAATTTAAAACCCTTCCATAGCCTTTCTTTCCTTCCAACCAACAATAGAGGGAGTCTAAACATGGGGCTTTTAGTCAGTTTGTCACTTCTATAAGTCTTTCTTCAGTCTGCTTAGGGAGAGGTGTCTTTTTTGCTATACCATTGTTAGCGTTCAAAAATACATAATCACGGAGGGATTATATGCGGTGCTTTTTATTAAGAGCTCTGGGTGTCAGGGGTATATTCAACCCAAATCTGACTCCAACCATACATCCGAAATGATCATGTTTTTATACTCTATTGTTATATAACCTTCATGTTAATTATTAAGCTTATATTGTTCTATTGTATACCTAAATTTAGCCCCCCTCTGAATTTCCAACATAGTTTCTCATTTTCCTTCTTATGATTACATAATAATTATATTTAATTACTAAAAAATCATCACATCTAACAATTATATAATTTACCATACTGCTTACGCAGGTGCAGTTGATCTGGGAAAGCACAAAGCTTAACATTTTAGATTCTATCTTTAACTTTTTCCAGGATTCCAATATCATTCTCCCCCCTTTGAAAGCATTTTCACTTCACTATAGGCGTAAATGTTTTCACTTGGTACAGTCCTTTATTCCTCAGTTCGTACTTGATTCTTCAAATCCAGGGTTGATGTAAACATTATCGTGGATGCTATTACGAACTGGAGAACCAGAAGATGGTGGGCATGGATCTCGTGTTAGTGCCTTTATTATCCTCTGGTTCCAGGACGTTTTCTTCTGTATCTCTCCCTTTAAGATGCTGTAAACTAACCAAATTGCTAAGAATACAATTAGTAAGA